CCGATATCAGATTGCTTTGTGAAGCACGCATGGTCACAGGAGTCTTCATCGGAAACAATCATGTCAATTCCTTCAAATAATGTGACTTCACGTAGCGTCAATTCTGATTTTGAACTTCTGGAATTAATAATGACATACCCGAATTGGTCGAAATCGATTGACGGAATGGAACCTGTTCCATGAATTGTCCTCAGGCTTGATGTGGCTCTAATCAGAATTTATTCTTCAATTCGTGACCTGGATCTTCCGATTAGCGTCGCCTCAGAGGTTTTCGGTGTATGTAGATTGTGATTTTCACAGACCCGTGGATTAGAATCATTCCCTGCTTACGGATTGTATTTTTGGAATGTTAATTTCGAACGAACGGAGAATCCGGGTTTAACGGTAAGTCAGGCTGGTTTTAAGGAAAATTTATGTCATTATTTTTTTATATATAAGAGATATATATTTGTATTTATAGGTCAATCTCTGATTTTAGAAATTTGAAAGATGAATTGTTATTTTTGAAATGGTCCAAAGATAAAATCTGAAAGCTGAATTTTTCCCTTTTTAATTTCCCTTTTATTTTTAACTAAACTAATAATAATATGCACGGGCTCCAGCCCGAAGAATAAAGCCCAAAAGAAATCTCAGTCCGCAAAATTTGCCAAATTTGAGGTTGCCGAAAGATTGAACCGGCCGGCGTGCTTCAATTAAATTACATTGTTAAAATCCCCGTTGTGTTTTAACACTTCCACTCCGAGTCTCCTTCACAAACTCTGCCGTCTCTCAGATCTGTTCTCCGTTTATCTTGTAGATAGACAAACTGACATCTGATAGCCATGAATATAGTGTTTAGGGTTTTTCTTCTCCTTCTCACCATCTTCTCTTCCAGCTATCCCACTCTATGTATCTACGAAGACCAAGTCGGCCACATGGACTGGTCTCTCTCTACATATAATTTTAATTTTTAGTGATTTTTTTTCATGATTATGCAGATTATATGATTGGACTCTCGTAATTTTTCATGATTATAGTGATTTGATGATTGGAGTTTCATAATTATGTAGGCATCAACAGTACATAGGGAAAGTGAAGCACGCAGTGTTCCACACGCAGAAGGCGGCACGGAAGCGCGTTGTGGTCTCCACCGAGGAGAACGTTGTTGCTTCACTTGATCTTCGTCGTGGCGAGATTTGTAGGTTTCAACCTTCAGTGTTTTGCTCTTAACTCAATTTATTTTTAAGTGAGCAGTGCAATTAATGGTAAATGTTTGGATGTGATGCAGTTTGGAGACATGTTTTGGGGCCCAACGATGTCATTGATGCAATAGATATCGCGCTCGGGAAGTGTAATTACCATCCTCATATCTTGCATGAGATTTTTTCAATGGGTTATTTAGCTTATAGTTATCAACAATCACTGGGTTTCCGTGTTTTATCTTTAAGATTTGAATTGGTGCTAAATGCCTCTGGTCCATTTTTCCATAGGAGTAGTAAAAGGAAATAGTTGCCTAATATGTTGTACTCTTTGATCAGCTTGTGAAAGTTTATAGTTATTATCAATTCTAGTAAAATGGGAACTATTATTCATCTACTAGGAGCTTGACATCCTAAACTGGTAGACCCCTCTTCTCTTTCGTACCTCCAAATGAGCTGATCTAGATCCGCTCTATTTTTCAAGCTTGTCCGTTACTCCTATCTGAATTTCTCCTAAATGCTTCTATTTGGGTAATAAACTTTCAATTTAGTTGCTTCAAATTCTTTTGCTAGTGAAAATTGAAGTTTAGGTTCATGTATATTTGATTTGATATAAATATTTTATATTTTTGCAGATGTTATTACCCTGTCATCAGGAGGAACTATCTTAAGAGCTTGGAACCTTCCTGATGGCCAGATGATTTGGGAGTCAACACTTTCTGGCTCAACGCCCTCAAAGTTGTTATTATCAATTCCAGTGAGTGAAAATTGTTATGTTTCCTTTGCCTTCCAAACAAGCATCTTCAGATATCTCTAGTAGATGGCTTAGCCTCATATTACCAAATCATGACAATGTGCACTTGAAAGCAATTCACTTACTCTAGTGAGCAGTACACGAAGCTACACTTCTCTAGGTTGTGGTTTTCTCTGAGATGAATGTTCCATGAATTTTTTGCTCAAATTTACAGAACCATAGCATGCCCACTGAATGTGGTAATATGAAGGACCCTTATGTAGAACAATTATGGACTCTTCTATTAGATTGAAAATTTGGATGGGTAACGGTTGAAAGAGGGATGTACTCAGGATTCAAAAATGATGGAGGGATAGTATGAGCTTACCAACACTTCGTATGAGGAAATTTTATTTTTATAAGAGCAAAAAAGCCTAGTTAGGGGGCATAGTTATCCTCCTTAAGTTCCAGTTTCTTAGTTTCATTTGCAGATGAACCATCGAGAATTATTTGTTCCTCCATTGCCATGCACTAAAATTGTCAATAAAGCACTACTACACCTCCAGTACTTTAAGAGATGATAGATTTCAATTTTAATAAAAGATCAAATATTTAGCAAAATAAACTTAAAGGAAAATGCGTGATAAGAACTTCAAATCCTGTTCAATCAGAATTTAACAAATAACTAACAAGAAATTCTAGTATCCTTACTCAAAGATAAAGGACCATTAAATGAAAACGATGACTCATTGGAATTACTCAAAAAAGATCTAGATTTTTTAATTCACATCTCTTCCTTGTGTATCAAAATATAGAAATTGCTTATTAATTACTAGATCCAGATGAATCACATAACCAGAACAAAAATATTGCAACAAAGAAAGAAAAAGAACTTCCTATCAGCCAGGAAATGACTCTCCCATAGATATTTAATTGTTAACAAGACTTAACACAAAAGATTTTTCAGAAATATAATTATGTTCTATGGTTTGGTGCAGACAAATTTAAAGATTGGAAAGGACGATGTGATCTTTGTTTATAGTAGTGGATGTCTTAATGCTGTCGCAAGCATCGATGGCGAGGTTATCTGGAAGAACGAGTTAACATCTGAAGGGTTTGAACACTTATAAACTCTATTTTTCCCCTGTCTACTACATCCTAACACTGGTTTTGGTGTGTTTCTGTCATTTTGCAGTGGCGATGTTCAACAGTTAATTTATCCTGAGGGAACTGACATAATATATGCCATAGGTTTAGTTGGTTTGGCTCAGTTTGATGCTTATCAAATCAATGTCAAGACCGGCGAGCTGCTGAAGCATAGCAGCATGGTATTCCCTCCTGGTTTCTCTGGGGATTTGTTATTTATAACAAGCAACATAGCTGTGGGACTGGATTCCACTGGATCAATTTTGGTTGCAGTACACTTCCAGGATGGAGCAATTAGCTTTCACCAGACACGCGTGTCAGAGCTTGGTTGGGATTTTTCAGGGCCAGCAGTTATGCTACCCACTAAACTTACAGGAATGTTTGCTTTGGAGATAAATAAATCTATTGTCTTTATTAAGGTGACAAATGAAGGCAAGTTGGAGGTATTGGACACACTTGGTCACTCAACTGCAGTTAGTGAGTCTCTGTATCTTTCAGAAGGCCAACAAGCTTTTGGGCTAGTTCAGCAGGGAGATGGCAAGATAATTCTAACAATGAAGCTCGGTAATGACTGGACAAACAATTTACTTCAGGAAACCATTCAGATGGACTACCAAAGGGGAATTGCGCAAAAGGTTTTCATCAATACTTATGTCCGAACAGATAGGTCTTACGGATTCAGGGCCCTGATTGTCATGGAGGACCATTCATTATTCTTGTTACAGCAAGGTGAGATCGTCTGGAGTAGGGAAGACGGGCTAGCTTCTATTACAGATGTAATGGTATCAGAATTACCAGTTGAAAAGGATGGTGTATCTGTCGCAAAAGTTGAGCACAACCTTTTTGAATGGCTTAAGGTAGGACCTCAATAAAGTTCTGTTTAGGGATATTGGCATTGCCTCGTGAATTTTAGGGCATTATAGTTTCATATATTTTCTATAATTAAGCTCTGAAAAAGAAGAATAATTATTATTTTGGATTTATATCATATTACGTATGGCATAAGTTTACTTTTCTTCCACGAGGATTGGGTTTGGTCCCATTGAATTAAAACCACTTTAGATTTATGCCTCTCCTTAATTTTTAGGTCATGTGGCATAGTCTTGTAAATTAGATTGTGCTTATCATGGGTCTCTAAGTACTGTTTAATAGGTCTTAGGCTTTTTTTTATTTGCTGAGACCAAATGCTCAAGCATAGAAAGACATATATTGTACTATGTCTTTTTGAAACTTATGGAAAAAGAGAGGAATTTTTTTTACCTTATTGTTGCTTTTGCTAGTGTCACCTTGTCGTTTGCATTAACGAACTGGATGTATTTCATTGATTGTGTCTTTGTTGTGCCTTCCTTTGAAAGGGTCATCTCCTGAAACTCAAAGGTACTCTTATGATAGCAACCCCTGATGATGTAGCAGCAATCCAGAAAATGAGGTTACAAAGCTCTGAGAAAAGCAAGATGACCCGAGATCACAATGGGTTTCGAAAGCTACTTATAGTACTTACTCGAGCAGGAAAACTTTTGGCACTGCACACAGGAGATGGAAGGATTGTGTGGTCTCTCTTATTGGATTCTCTTCGTAAATCCGAAACATGTCAAAATCCTAGAGGGCTTAGTTTGCATCAGTGGCAGGATCCCCATCATCATGTACTGGATGAAAATCCATCAGTTCTTGTTGTTGGCAGATGTGATTACAGTACAGATTCCCCTGGAGTTCTCTCCATTGTTGACACATACACAGGACAGGAGCGCAATCATATGGGACCTACCCATTCTATTACACGTGTTATTCCACTGCCTTTTACTGATTCAGTGGAACAGCGTCTGCATTTGCTGCTGGATGTTAATCGGCAAGCTCGCTTATACCCCAGAAGTAATGAGGCTCTTGATATTTTCCAGCGTGAATTAGGAAATATATATTGGTATTCGGCTGATGTTGACGAAGGGATTCTGAAGGGTCATGCAGTGCAGAATAATTGTATTCTCGAGATTGCAGATAGCTACTGTTTCAACACACGGGATCTCTGGTCAATTGTATTACCATCAGAATCAGAAAAGATAATTGCAACTGCAACCAGAAACTCAATTGAGGTGCTTGTTTATTCTTTCTTTTCCTTTTAGTTTAGAATGTGAAATGTTGGGCTGGTATGCAACTTCCAGTTTCTCTTATAGCCTAGTTCATTCGACTAAATTTTGTGTCTCGTTAGTGAACTGTGTGTTATTTTTTCAACACTGGTTTACATATAAAACCCCCCTACCATGAGAATTATTAATTAATTGCTAGTGTAAGTTTAAATAATCACTAGGAGTGTAGCATCTAAGACTAAAATATTGTCAAAGTGGACATCAGCCACTTTTGTTGAAGGAATAGAAAATGGGATAGGGAATTTGTTGTCATGTGAGCTGAGACAAGATTGCTTGCTATATGAAAACTTTAACATCATCTTTCTTTTTATGGAATTCTGAAACTTGAAAGGAGAATATCTTCCCACCTTCTTACAACAAGCTCATGAGCTGTTTGCCGTGCCTTCTTTGTAGTGCAGCTGTAGACTTTCTGTCAGTGTGACTTTAATATGTTTTATGAGTTCAACTGCAAATCGACATCTTGCTTTAAAATATTTTATGTAGTTTGAAGTTTTGAGGCTGCGAATAGTCTTCTTTATTGGGTCTCACAACTCTTTCCTGCTTTGTGGGTACTGTAGTTTGAAAAGCATTAACGGAAGACTTAATGCTGAGTCCTGCATTTCTTTATATCTCTAGTGCAGATTTTGACGTATCTTTGAAAGTAAGCTTTTAGGGAGTGTGGTATTGTTAGACTTAGGAATATCTAATGTACATTTGTCCTCTACTTATTATTTTTCTTTATTATGTCAATAAAGACCGCATTAAAGTCAAAGGTTTCCTAGTTAATTTCTGCACTGTTAAATTTATGTATAATATCCCTGGTGCTTCTGGTGGGAGGGCATATCGTATTGGATTTGGTTTTGTTGTATCAGTATTCAAGTATTATACCTTTGGTTTGATTGAATCAAGTATTCAAGTATTTTAAAGTAACATCATATATGACTTGCATATGCATGATGACTAGATGGATTCGTGTCATAATATGCGACAAATTTTAACGTTGATTTCAACATACCACAACCCCCCTCCTTTACTGATGCTTGGAACTGGCTACAAAGTAACATAGCCAGAGTTTGTTGTTTTGTGCGTAATGAATAAATGTGGCAAAAGCACTCATCTTGTCTAGCAAGACGACCTGTCCTTTCATAGTACAGAATGTTTTTTGCTTGACCTCTGTTTTTTATGGTACCTTAGGAAGTTTCAGTTTTGTTGCTGTATATGGTGACTGTGATTTTGTTTTCTTTGATTTCTCATCCTCTTCAGGCTGTTCATACCCAAGCAAAGGTGACGTCTGATCAGGAAGTCATGTATAAATATATATCAAAAAACTTGCTCTTTTTGGCCACTGTTGCACCTAAAGCCGTTGGTCCCATTGGTTCAGTCACCCCAGAGGAGTCATGGCTAGTCGTTTATGTAATTGACACTGTGACTGGTCGTATACTGCACCGCATGACTCATCACGGTTCACAAGGCCCTGTCCGAGCAGTAAGTCTGTCTTTCCTTCATCCATCGATGTAAAAAACAAGAGAAAACTATGTTTGGTCCCTTTGAATTTTATGAAAGTCTTTCTTATGTATAAAAAAATTGAATATTCACCCCAAGATTTACTTTCTGTGAAGGTCTTTAGCGAGAATTGGGTTGTCTACCACTATTTCAATTTAAAGGCACATCGATACGAGATGTCTGTCATTGAGATCTATGATCAATCTCGTTTGGTATTTCTTCATCCAGATCTTATGTATTACGTAAGTCCCCCCTGTTCTGAGATATCTAAAGCTTTCTCATATACAGGAGAACAAAGACATTTTGAAGCTTCTTCTTGGGAAGCATAATCTGAGTTCACCTATCACAGCCTACTCCCGCCCAGAAGTTATCACCAAGTCGCAATCTTATTTTTTCACACATTCCTTGAAAACACTAGCAGTAACATCAACGGCTAAAGGAATAACTTCCAAGCAACTCCTCCTTGGCACAATTGGAGACCAGGTCAACTTTAGCAATTACTTGTCCTAATTTCCATTTTTTGCATTTTCCTTCCACTCTTCCGTTATTTGATACCTTCCTTTGCTACCTTCCTTTGCTGCTCTTCGAATATTTTGTATTACGAAAATTATATATGAAATGGTTTGTTACTTCAATCAATGTTGATCATTCATACGTTATTATATGTAAACATTGTACAGGTTTTAGCACTTGACAAGCGCTTTTTAGATCCCCGGAGAACAATCAACCCCACGCAAGCTGAGAAAGAGGAAGGAATAATCCCGCTTACTGATTCATTGCCAATTATTCCACAGGTGAAAACATTTTCCTAAGTTTGTTGTCTCAATAATAACCAATAAATGATTTGATCTAGACATCTGTGTATATGACTATCTCTGTGTTGTGAATTTAAAAAATGATCAATATAAACCAAGTTTGCAATGCATAGAATTTAGATGCATTGATGATATATGTGTTAGTACAAATTTGATACCAATTCGTTGATTTTCAAAATGACCCATGCATGACGTATAGAATTTAATGGAGCAATTGTCAGGATTGTAAAAAACTTGAGTTCGAAGTGGTTGGTTAAGGTGTTGAGTTTGACAGGGATGTGTTTCGTACATTCAAAAGAAGTACTCCTTAGTTTGAATTGCTATTTTCCCACTTAAATATTGCTGTAACGTCTGAGTTGGTCTTTGGTGTAACAACTACCAATAGATAAATTTTCCACTAGCTTGTCTACCTAATTCAGAACATTGGAATCGCTTAAAATTTCTTCCCAGCATTATAGGGGATATTCTTTGTCAACATTATGTATATTAATGCACATACTCATTTTTAAGATTACTTGGCTAAATAGTTGATAAGGTGGTGACTCAAGATGATTTAGTTTCCACCCCTAAATATAAATGGTCCAATTGTTACTAAAGTCCATTTTATTGAGAATAATGCTCATCATCACCGTTTACCCATAAGCAGTAATGTGGCTTTGCCATCGGAAGTGTGGGATTTAAAATGACAAACCGCGATGATTGGTAACTGGTAAGCACTGCCTATGAATAGAAACACTGATCCATGGGCTCCTTTTGCAGTCATATGTAACCCATGCTCTTAAAGTGGAAGGCCTTAGAGGCATCACTACTGTACCTGCTAAGCTGGAGTCAACCACCCTTGTTTTTGCCTATGGAGTGGATCTGTTTTTCATCCGGCTTGCACCTTCGAGGACTTATGACTCTCTTACAGAGGATTTCAGTTATGCTTTGCTTCTCATCACGATTGTTGTCCTCGTCATAGCAATTTTTGTGACATGGGTTTGGTCGGAAAAGAAGGAGCTGCAGGAGAAATGGAGGTGAGTCAAAGCTGTTTCTTTGGCCTATAACAAGTTTTATCTACAACTAGCTGTAACCCGGTTATTCTTTTCAAATGGCTCCCGGGGTTGTTTCAATTTTTCTTAAATGGGTAAAAATATTTATGCCCGGTGTTGTAAATTTAGAATGGCCAGGAGAGAATTGATGAACTGTTTACACTCGCATAGTAGGCTCACCTCTACACATTTTGTCATGCCATCTAAAGATTTTTCTATTATTGAACATGGAAATTGTTGATCAGGAATTTATTTTTTCATGTCACCACCTCTACAGATTTTGTCATGTCATCATCTAAGATGATTTTTTTTCTTGTTTGTAAGTATGGTCTTTGATCAAATGGTGAATTTTGACTAATTTCTTAAAAGACCTATATATCAAGAAAAATTCAATAGAAACTCAAATTTGTATTTCAAAAAGAATGGACCTTAACTGCAATGTTCAGTGATCTTAATCCCACATCTCAAGTGAAGAGTTAATTTCACTGATCGTCACTGATGTTTGTGCAAAATTTCTAATTGGTCCTCTAATTGTTTTTTCGATTGTTCTATATGTACATTACAACTCGAACATGTATGATGTGAAAAGATTTGATTAGGTTAAATCTCATCGAATAAATTAAAAAAATCGAATAATGCCTACTTGTACATGGTGAAGGTGAAGTTACATAATTGTTTAAATATATGTGAGATGTCAAAAAGAGAGTAAACTTTTTTTTCTTTTATTTGGTTGAAGAAATTATGATTCAATCATATTTTACTGCGTATCTAAACCAATGATTACGTATATGTAGCACAATTAAAAAAAAAAAAAAAAAACTCCCCCACTATCCTTTTGACGCTTCATCAATTCGTAATAATACAATCAACATTTTCATTATTTTTTGATGTCGTTAGTGAGTGAAGTTGTTAAGGTTTACACAAACAATCATTTCGTGAGAAAAATCGGTTGTGTTACATGAATATAATGGTTTTCATGTACATGATATGGTGAGATATGACTGGATTTAATTTCTTTAATTGGATAAAAAAAATTCCACTTTCTTTTTGATACATCATTTGTATGTAAACCATTGTGTAATTCTATTATGTACAGATAGCATTATTCTAGAAAAAAAAAATTAAAGTATAATATGATATGTAGCTGTTAATTGTAATTGGAGTAATCGATGTTATCTTATGGAATATGGAATAACGAGGGTTACTCCTCTGACTTATTTGTGAAATTGTTAATAATTTTAGTTACTAATGGGGTATGTAAAAATACTTTGGAAACCAATTTGAAATTTCACACAAACTTTAATGTCAATAGGTGAAATTAACTCATCCTACAAAAATATGTTCATACAAACTTTAAGATAAATTATATCTATGAATTATGAAAATTCACATGTACTTTCGAATTTTTAAAAATTGATTAATGTTTTTAATACTAGAAGATAATAATGAATGATAATTTAAATTTATCTAGAATATATCATTTACTTTAAAAATCTATAATTTTGTTAGAATTGTAATTCCCATTAAAAAGTTTTATTGTTATAATAATATACATCTAGTCTCCGCTTGAATACAAATTTATAAGTAATTTATAAATTCAATTAAATATGATCATTAATTTGGATAATACATCCAATAGTCTTATGTATTTTATTGAAAATCAAGATCCATATGGTTCAAAACGAGAGTTGCAATTGGAATGAAATCGATTCTCTAAACTAGATAAGACTTATTTATGTATGATGATTAGACTACATAATCATTAATATTTATTTTATAGTGTTACAACACTTCCCATTTGATGATTATTTGCACAATAACTATATAATTGAAACATTGTTTGACAAAATTCAATAGGACAAAATTGTCAATAAATAAAAAGAGTACAAATAATTTGGAGTAATAAAATGTTGTCTCATTAAAACCTTGTTAAGAAAATCCAGTGTAACAAACTCCACCCAATTTCAATAAGTGAAAATTCTTGTATCAAGCAATCCATATCTTGTATATCAATGTATTGAATATTTCAATTTCTAGTAAAGTATGTTTCATATTGTCTTGTATAAATTTCAAATAACATCGTCTTCATACGAAATATTCATCAATCTTTGATGACTATTATGATTCAAAAAATAATTCTTGTTGATCTCTTTGGAAATCTCATTCACATATGAGTATTATTTTGAGCGTAAATGTTTTGTATGTTATAGACATTTATCACATAAAGAATATGTATCGTTAAAACATTATTGGGAAAAATTCTAATGAAAAAAAAATAGTACATTATTCTTTTGAGTAGCTACAAAAGTCATTTCATTAAAAATCTTGTCAGGAAAATCCAATGAAACAACCTTGGTTAAGGAAAAAGAGTACAACACGTATTTTCCCTCTCATTATAATATTGCGGGAATTATATGCTTTGGGCATATTAAATCTTTCAACGTAATATTAATAGCCATGTCATATAAATTCGATATGATCAAATTTATTATATATATATCAAATTCGTACATTGTCGACTAATAAAATAGAGAATTGTGATTATATCTACCACGTGATAATCTATCTATTTACATGAGTATTCACAAAATTCATTATACAAAGAGTCGTACATTTAATATTACGACTTTACTTTTTCCAAAGGTGTATGCTTATGTGACTAACGAGTCGTACATCTCCTAAAGGTGTATACTTACGTGACTAAAAATTATGTTTATAATTTAAAGTTTTAGCAGTATTTTCGCAAATTTCAGGCTGTGAATGCTGTGCAATAATCTATTATATGTATCATATTTATCATATACAAATAATATATAGATGGTTAACATGGAGGGTAATGGGTCCACATTATCATCCCGATTAATTTTCAGAAAATATAGAGAATTCAATCCCTATTTTAACTAGTGATGATCGATTTTCGATAAAGAGAACAAATATTATATGGAAATTCATTAGATCGAAGAATCTTCCGATTCTTCGTTGAATGTTTGAATTCTCAATTTTGCATCATTATTGATCTAGAACTATTCATGCCAAACAATAAAATCAAATTAAATTTCTTGTTCAATATAAGATATAGCTTAATTATTTAATTTCAAAAAATATGATTAAACATTATATATATAATACAAATAGTCAAACTAATCAATGTTTTCATGACATTAGTTATATGTTTTCCTTCGAGGATATTTATGAATTCAAAATGATAAAATCTTTGAAAAATGTGTTAGTTCGAGAATACGTTGGATTTTGTTATTGCCCCTTCAAAAGTAATATGCTAGTATTTTTATAGAATATTAACAATTATAATTCATACTTTTTATGAGTAATCAAATATTATTATAATAATTTATAAAAAGATTTACTCTTAAAAAAAAGAAGAAGTATATATATATATAAAATTTACGTTATATCGTATTTAATTATGCTTTTCAGGAGCAAGAAATAATTTTTTTAGAATATTAATTAAAATGTTTGTGCTACTTCTGGAGCAACAAATAATGCAAATATAATATTCATTTTCAACAATATTACAATATTCTTCTGGAATATTGATTAAGATTATTTCCTTTAAAAAACAATATACAATATTATTCTAAAATACTGATGAAAATTATTTCCTTTCAAGAATAATATATAATATTCTTTTGGAATATTACTGTAGATAATTTTGTTTTATCATTGATTAACCAAATAGAAGCATAAATAGTGTCATCGTCGAATTTACACAAAATTCACTCAGACAGGATATAAAATAGGATATGAATACAGATATAATATACATACAAAATAATCATGATTAATAGTATAATAAAATAATCTCGATTGATTAGTACATGCATTAGTAAAATAATCAGTATGCATACAATAAAAATAAGAATAAACACCAGAACGACTATGCATAAATAATTTATATATTTGTTTGCTTAATTCAATAAACCAATACAAAAACATTAATTGGATGCGTGAATTGATAAAAAAATTCACATGTCGCCAAATTAATTTTGGTACATACGATAAATGATTATACTTATAAAAATCATTACGTTCTCACTAATGTACTTTTATTATTAGAGATTCGTGCTTAAACGTGTTATAAACTAGAGAGAGAAAAAAATAAAGAGAAATCAATATACTTATGTATTTTATTGAGAATCAAGACCGTATTTATATGATTTAAAACGAGAGTTACAGTTGAAATGAAAGAAACTCTTTAAATTAGATAAGATTCATCCATACACAACAATACGACTATGTAATCATCAATATTTATCTTATAGTTTTACAACATATTCATTATAATCTATATATTAGTGAGACTCACAATCATTTCTGTTTATAAATCAGCATTTATAAGTTTGTGAAATGATGGATTAATCTTTATTTCTGTTACACAAATTATCTTGGACTCTTTTTTAAAATCAATTCCAAGACATTTAATTAAGATAATTATTCAGATTTTAGCTCATGTTTGGACTCCATTAAAATTATATATTTTTTTCATTATCTTCTTATCAACAACATATTTTTTAATAAAATAGTATTATACGTAAATTCAATATTTGCTTTTCTTTTCACTGCACATTTTTAACAAAAAATATTATTCCAATATACAATTTTGTTTTTCCAAAATCTAATGAAAATGAAAATGGAGGGTTAATAACTCCGGATAATTCTACTTGTACAATTGAGATTGACAACTTTTCACGCGTGTACGAGATCCACGTGTTTAAAAAAAAAAAAAAAAAGTGGACGCCCTGTACAAGGGGTTGTCAACCGATGTTGAGGCATGATCCAATAATTCCAGACCTGTTTCTAGTGCGCCGGATAACCGTACGACTGTACAAGCACAAGATACAACTCCTCCTTGACCTTTGGATGTTTATCTGCGCCGCTCGGACGCCACTGAATACAGTCATAAACGCTCAGACACTCGAGTTCTCTCCATTATTTACTCGCCGTTCGACAAGGAGTCTCTTCTAATGGAAG